AGGAGAAAGAGAGAAAGAGAAACGGAAAGAGAAAGAGAAAGAGAAAGAGAAAGAGAAAGAGAAAGAGAAAGAGAAAGAGAGAGAAAGATAAAAGAAAGAGGATTGGGAAGGAAAGAAGAAGGGCAAAAGAAAAGAAAGAGAAAGTGAAAGAAAAATGGAGAGTTAGAGAGAGAAAGAAAGAGAGCAAAAAGCTATGATGCGTAAAGACCTAATGAGAGAGAGGAGAGAGGGCTACAAAAATTCGTGGTAATATTTAAAAATCTCGGAAATTTCGAAAAAATGACATATCTTATAAACATCGGCTTTCCAAGTAAACAATATAGATTGAAGCAAATCCAAGACTAGAAGGGGAGCTGAACCCCTACTGCCTGCTCTAGCCATAGTCTCAAGTTTAACCCTTGCGTGACCATAACTACCCTTTCAAACTAATCAATCATTACAATTTGCCTTTTTCTACAAATTAGTTACAATTCAAGTCAGTTCGCCTACTATACTAAAAATCTACCAGGGATAGAAAACTCTTCATTTCCTTTGCTAACTATGAGCTGACAAAGCTAATAATTGAGTTGCAGGGAGAACTTAGTTTTCAGCCCGTCCCATTCACTACATCGTTTTAGAAACAAATTAAGCAGAACCAGTTTTGGCTTCAGTTCTTTTTAGAATTGAAAGGATTTCAGGACGAGAGGAACTTGGTCAAACAAAGCGACGAGGGAAACTAGTTTCCTAAAAATTAAAAAGACTACTTTAGAGCTCTCGAACATTAATCACTGAACAAATTCTGCAGAGTTCGAAAGAGTTGCAAAATCCCGAAATCAAATTAAGAAAATGTGAAAGTAAGCGAAGGGTGGGCCGGTTCAAAATCCAAATCTTATCATGAGGAGGGAAAAAAGAGAGCCGGCAATATTTGGGAGCAAAAAAAAAACAGTCTCAGGGAATTGCATTGATGAAACGAATCTGCACCATCGGTCATCGCTGTAATTGCAAAAAGAGCGGTCGACGGTTTGCGACTTTCGTGAAACTTTCAGCTCCGCCTACATCGCGATGGGTCAAACGGCCGGAAATGGCGGGTTGAAAAGACAACACGGAGATATATATGACACAGCGGGAGGTTCTGGTGGGCGTCTGATCCACCTGCTCCTTCTGAACCCACTGACGCCACTTACCCATATCAGCCAGTACGGTTGTGGAATCAGTGAAAACGTTTGGAACGCCTTTTCGAGAGCTGATGAGTAAGAAAAAGTATTTGTCCGATATTTCAATGAAAAATCAGAACTTCAGATGTTTTCAACTCCTTCTCCTTTAATAAAGAACCACTCTACAGAAGGTCAAAGGTTCCAGTAAGCTGGAGCTACCCTCAACTTTTCAGCTCCAAACCTAATCGGATTCTAAAAAGAGTTTAATGAAGAATTGAGGGTGTCAATGGTGTCAATACCGGTCACTGGTAGTCGATAGGTCTTCAGAGAAAGTTAAAAAGAATCCCCAGAGAAGTTCTGAATAGCGAGAGAAACTACATGATAAAGTACGCATCAAAGACGTGGCTACCGTACAGTAAAGAGACTGTGGGGTGAAGTTTTGCTAGACTGGAAGAATTTGCATAAAAACGCTAGAACCAGTCGAAATATGGAAAACTTGGTTAACATAGAAGCCCTAAAAGCTGTAGGTCCCCCACACTGCCTCCGCTTTGCTTTCCGGCGATATCGGATCGAACTCGCTACATCAGCGCGACCATAGAGTTCGTTGTTGCGCTGGCGGCGAAGGCGAGGACATGCTGGATAAATGGTCTGGGGCGAAGGATCATCTTTTATAGATGCCAGGGAGCACCATATACCCAGCCCCGGCTCCGCCTACCGCCTCCACCACCTCCATAACGAGTTGTGCCGAGTTCTGTGGGTTTCTCGCAATGAAAAATCTGTAAAAGTGCACAGCAGGGCGGCGCAACACCGTACAATCGGCCACGAATTCTCCTCCCACACCGAAGGTATGTCCATCTTTCCGGAAACGGACCCGGAAAAATGAGTTCACCATCGACGTGGGAGGAGATGCCGCAATAACCCTTTTAGGCCAATCCAGACAAGAGCCTGTGGGATCGATCCCCAGTCCCTACAGAAAGTACGACTTGCTCATTTTCTTGATGAAAATTGACTCAAAAACCCTAGTCGGCCATCTTGGTATTGGGCAGGCAAAAAGCGGTCCACTCAATTTATCTCTGAGCTCGTTTACAATGGGTTTTCACCTCCAGTCAGTATCAATGCCCGATTATCGCCCAAACGAAAAAGTAGCTGTCACAAGGATTTTGAAAGCCGGTTCCACTCAATCTCTTCGAAAAATTTCGTGAAGAATGACCTGCGAAATTACTCGCAGATTATGATTCTAGATATTTCAGTTCAAGTTTGCAAAATACGAAAGAAGAGAAGATTGAAATCAGTTTTAAAGACGCTGTTCTCCTCTGTAGTCTTTCATATGTCTCCAGAAGTGATGATATAATAAAATGAATGGATCTCTTGACAGAATGAAGAAAAAAACTGGAAAAGACTAGTGGCCACTTACTTACTTTCTGGATCCTTCAGCGTCGCTCCACGAACCTTTCCAATCGTTGCTTCTCATTCAGCACTCAGCATTTCCTTTTTCCGGTCAGCATTGAGAGGTGGTCCAAGTGCTGAATAATATTTATTACAGAAAAATCAATAGGTAGATTTTATTTATCCTAGCTAACAATGGAAAGTAATAAAATATGACTTACGATACGGCAGGCCTGGCCATGAGTCTAGCCGTAGAAAAAGGATGCGGTGGATGACCATAACTCATTTTTTCCTGTCCCATTTCAGCGGAAGATGACATTACTCCTGACCGATTGATTTTGTGTAGGACTACAAAGCGACCTATGCTTGGATTGATCCATTTCCTCTGAATGACATTTTTTTTATAATACTCTCCATACCGGATTTCCGATTTCAACAGTTGAAATCCTTGAACCGTTGAATTGAAGGTACTGTGCATTAATTGTACGGCTCAGAGAGCAGAATACTAAAAAGTTGAACTCACCTATGAAGCATATAGCCACCGCTCTCCCAGTCAGTCGAAAATCGGCTCATCTTGAAGGATCGCCCAATGCCTGGCAGCTTCACTCGTGTATGTCCCATCGATTTGTTGGAGTACGAGTAGCACTGGAGAAAGGAGATATTTACAAAACAATTCTTGAGCATTCATGGCTTACTGTACTTTTTGCTTACCACCAAATCCTTTTGGTAAAGCGCTTCCTTCGAGAAGTGTACTTCGAGATTTCACGAATATTCTACATTACCTACTTTGAAAAACGAACTTCTCTGAATTAATCCAAATATGGAACGTACAACAGAATTCTGGTCCTCTGAGCATGTATTTTTCAGCACAATGTGTTTGTACTGGGAAAAGCTCTAAAAGAATAAACATCAAGGTAAACAAGTTTAACTAAGAAATTTCAAGCAAAAAGATCAGTAATGTTTTCATGCATTTATACTATCAAGCCTTTGCTCGGCTGCCTTTTAGATTTGTTTAAATA